TATATATATATTAAAACAATAAGTAATATCATTTATAATATGTGTAATTGGTACTTCTATTTATCACCTAATCCCTATAAGGTAAGATTTCAAAAACAAAAAAAACAAAAAAAAGACATGACACCGACTTCGGTAAGATTGTTAGACAGCTGGGGAGGTCATTCAAGTCATTTCACAAAGGACATAATCGTCACTAAAATATCTCCAACTAATAGTTTACATTAAAATCAAATCTCACCATTTTAGATCTCATCATAACCGTCTGTTTCTTCATCAAGGGCCCAGAAGTAATAGGAGGGAAAAGATTACAGCCGTTGATCTTTTCCCCCTCTTCAATATAAACTTCTTCATAGGCTTCACTTCTTCGCACCCACTCGCTTCACTCTCCAACTACTCTCTCGATCAATTTTCAGATTTCTTCAGTTGCCTTCCCGATTTTAAAGGTAAATTTTCTGTTTATTTATCGCAGATCTGTGATTTTTGAATTGCATTTAGTATAATTTTCATGATTCTTACTGTGATTAATGATTGTTTGTCTCATTTTGCTTGTCTACTTCTTAAAAAATCATCCGCATTTCAATTATTATTTAGATCGATAGGGTTTTATTGTTTTTTTTGGTTCATTCATTTATTTTGAGTTATTTATGCAATATGTTGTACTTCAATTGATAGATCGAGTGAACTTTCTATGTTTAATCACTGATTTTTGAATTGCATTTATAATTTTTGATAATTTTTTCTGTGATTAATGATTTTCTATCTCATTTTCCTTCTCCACTTTGTATAAATCTTCCGCATATGATAAATTTTCTAGATCGATAGAGATTTACTGTTGTTTTGTTCATTTCATTGATTTTGATTCGTCAATATTTCGTACTTGAAATTTTAGATTGAATGAACTTTCTATGTTTTACTGATTTATAGATCTGAGAATTTATTGTTACCTCGCATGTATTAGAGTTGCAGTAGTTTCGCATATATAATCTACTATGACTAGTCGATTTAATGAGATCTAAGGAAAATATGCTTTGCATAGATAGAATGTTAGTTTGGATCAACAGTTGTTAATGATATTAATGCTATTGAAATGCACAAATCGACTCAAATACTAAGCATTATCTAGTGAAATTAGGTAAATGTTGTGGTGATCAACTTTCTTCTCTTTAAAATTTCGTGAAAATATGACTTTAATACTTTGTATAGTGGATTTTGATATGTGTGTGGAAGTGAACTTATAACATCTTGGTTAATTTCAGAAAAAATGAGAGAAATCCTGCACATTCAAGGTGGACAATGTGGAAACCAGATCGGATCAAAGTTCTGGGAAGTTGTCTGTGATGAACATGGAATTGATCCTACTGGACGCTATGTTGGAACCTCAGATCTGCAGTTGGAACGTGTTAATGTGTATTACAATGAAGCGTCATGTGGGAGATTTGTTCCACGTGCAGTTCTCATGGATCTTGAGCCTGGCACGATGGACAGTGTGAGGACTGGTCCTTATGGCCAGATTTTTAGGCCTGATAACTTTGTTTTCGGTCAATCTGGTGCTGGAAACAATTGGGCCAAGGGACATTACACTGAGGGTGCTGAGCTTATTGATTCTGTTCTAGATGTTGTCAGGAAGGAGGCTGAGAATTGTGACTGTCTTCAAGGTAACAATCATGGATTTGAGTAGTTTTTCTTAGGATCCTTAGTATGCAATGTAATCGAGCTTAATTTGGGTAATATTCTGGTTACCTTTTTGCAGGATTCCAAGTGTGCCACTCACTTGGTGGAGGAACAGGTTCTGGAATGGGCACCTTGCTGATCTCAAAGATCAGGGAGGAATACCCTGATCGCATGATGCTCACATTCTCTGTGTTCCCATCACCAAAGGTTTCAGATACGGTGGTTGAGCCATATAACGCTACCCTTTCAGTGCATCAGCTTGTTGAAAATGCTGATGAGTGTATGGTGCTTGACAATGAAGCTTTATATGACATCTGTTTCAGGACTCTCAAGCTTACCACACCCAGCTGTGAGTATATGTTTTCCAAATTGACAACTTTACTTTTTGTCTCTGTGCTCCGATTATCTTTTTTCAATCATTATCAATGTATAGATTGACTCTCTAGCTTATGGGTTTTTTCAACCTTCTTAAACTGGTGAAATATGTGGCCTTCAAAGACAAGACCTGGTTTCAAGTGGCTTCACTAAATGTATTCTTTAGATGGACCGTTAGCTAATCTCTAGGTATTCCGAAGTTGGTGTTAAATGGTTCTACGAGTAATCAATGATTCATGTTGTAGTAGGACACACTTATTTGAGTGAAGACTATTGTAATTTCAAAGAACCCTAGATTTCCTTGACCCGTGGTCCTGGGGTGGGGGACAGATCATTTGTTATGGGTTATGGTCCCTGCTATTTGATTCATCAATCACCCTCTATAATAAGGTAGGTAAGCTGGTGATTTGGTCATTTTCCTATTGTCTATATATTGTTGTTTCAGTTACTTTTGATCTGTAACGAACAAGCCTAATCAGATACAAACATGAAATGTATTTTCACCAACAAACATGTGTGTGCATCATTAAGTCAAAATTTTTAGCCTTGATTTATGCTGCATGGTTATGGTAATTGATAAATATATGAATTGGGATTTATCTTCTGTTGTAGTTTAGATCCTTTCCTGGCTCATAACTGTTCTTGTGCTGTTTGTTTTCAATTTATTGTAATGTTATGGTAGTCAATATAGTTTGCACAAGCTGGCCCGGACCAAGATTAACAAAAAGTTATGGATGGTAGTCAATATGGTTATGGAGCATTAATTAGCTCCCCTATCAGTTAGTCCCTATTATTACTTCAACCATCACACATAAAGTCATAGTGGAATACAATCAAAATTAAACTGCTCTAGCATTTGGATGTTCGCGTGTTTCTTTTACTTTTTCCCAACCTTTCAGTGATTTTGTTGGTATTTGCTCATCTTGTCTTACACTTGCTAAATGTGCTTAACATTATGTTGCAGTTGGAGATTTGAACCACTTGATTTCTGCTACAATGAGTGGGGTTACTTGCTGCCTTAGGTTCCCGGGTCAATTGAACTCTGATCTTCGGAAGCTTGCTGTTAACCTGATCCCTTTCCCTCGTTTACACTTCTTCATGGTTGGGTTTGCTCCTCTCACTTCTCGTGGTTCACAGCAATACCGTGCATTAACAGTCCCGGAGCTGACTCAGCAAATGTGGGATGCCAAGAACATGATGTGTGCTGCTGATCCACGTCATGGTCGTTACCTCACTGCCTCAGCCATGTTCAGGGGTAAAATGAGCACTAAGGAAGTCGATGAGCAGATGATTAATGTTCAGAACAAGAACTCTTCTTACTTTGTTGAATGGATTCCAAACAATGTAAAATCCAGTGTCTGTGACATCCCACCCAGAGGTCTCTCAATGGCATCCACCTTCATTGGAAACTCAACTTCCATTCAGGAAATGTTTAGGAGGGTGAGCGAGCAGTTTACTGCTATGTTCAGGAGAAAGGCTTTCTTGCATTGGTACACAGGGGAAGGAATGGACGAAATGGAGTTCACAGAAGCTGAAAGCAACATGAACGACCTTGTGTCTGAGTATCAGCAATATCAGGATGCCACTGCTGATGACGAAGGTGAATACGAGGAGGAGGAAGAGTACGATCATGAAGGCAACTGAAGAAAGACAGATTATTATATGTGGTGTAATATGTTTCTGATCGCCCAGAGATATATAAGCAGTTTTTTTCTTGTATGTTGCATCTTTGCGTACACTTTGCTGTGAAGTCCAGCTAGTTTTGGGCTTACGTAGTTTATCAGGAGTGAATGCTGGAGAGTGAGGAGCGTGGGTTTCAAGTTGTAATACTGCTATCTGTTTCTGCTTAAATATTTGTTATCTTTTTCTTTTTGTGGTTAATATTCTCCATTATGCCATTACAAGGTTCGTACCTTTCAGCCATACTTGTTGTGATTAGTTTATTTCTATCTTCCCGTTCATATTTGTTTTCGATCTAGAATTTCTCAAAATGTCAAGATTGTTTCGTTATTTGGTTGGCTTGTCAACCAAGTGGCTTATGTTATTTATTATTTTAGTACTGATAATTGGTATAAGTTGCATTATTGAGGGTCAGGTGCTCTCTGTCCCCTTGCCAGGTGAAGTGCTAACACGGTTTTGGTGCTTATTAACTGCATTGCGTGCTTCAACATGTGCTTGACGATAACATTCCATGTGCAGTCAGCTATATATATATTCGTCTCATGGTTTTGGTGCTTATTAACTGCATTGCGAGCTTCAACATGTGCTTGACGATAACATTCCATGTGCAGTCAGCTATATATATACGTCTCATGTAGAGCCATATTATGCTGTTCCTACCTTACTTTGTTCAAGTTGTTTGTCATTGTCATTGCTATTGTTATGTTTCATGTAGAGCCATATTGTGCTGTTCCCACCTTTTTGCACATTGGTTGTCATAGTCATAGCAAAACTTGTGGAACCCAACCATTTTGTCTCCTCACATTCAAATTATTTGTTTTGTGTTAGCATCGAAGTTAGCAGTCCGGACATCATTGTTATAAATATTTGTTTTGCGGAGGTGTAGGTTGGTGAGGTGAAGGCACTCTAGTTTAGGTATTTTATTTAGTTATCTCAAAGTAGCATGGTTTTGAAGTTAGTAATTGTAAACATGCTCAGCTATATTTCTTCTCTTTGTCAATCATGCTTTTGGTTCAGACACCTGACCACTTAGTTATTATAAAATAGTAAGCATTTAAGTTTCATAATTCAGTTGTTTCACTACCTCGCTATGACTCTGTTAGCTTTTTATCATTTTTGAATAATCAAACAAAATGTGCACCTGATTTTTTGTTAGATTCTGCGAGAGACAAAGAGTTAGGACTTAGGACAATATTCCTTCAGAGTGGGAAGATTCTATTTAGTTCTAAGTGAACCAAAAAGTAATTCCGGTGATTTTAGAATGCTATGAATTGCTCCAGTTTGGTAAGAAAATAGTTTAAGACCCTCTTAGAAGATTTTGCAAGTTATCCCCTTTTTTTGACTAATTCGAGCCAGCATATCAAATGGTGGAATCAACCATTTGCTTATAATCACTACTATTACTATTATTATTATTATTATTATAATAATAAATAATCATGTCATTAATTTTCCACATCAATATTGGTTATCACTGCATTTTTTGATAATTGATATGATCTCCTCAATTGGTGGAAAAAGACATAGCGCACCCACAAGAGTTGTGGTGGAGTGGTAAGTACTCCTTCATCCTTAACCAGATGTCTCGGGTTCGAGCCCCTGGGTATGGAGTCGCCTTTGTTAGGGAGCGCTTTACCCCAAATGTGAGACTTCCCGGCACGAATCCGGATTTAATCGGGGCCCCAATGTAAATACCGGATACCGAGTGAGAAACCAAAAATACAAAGAAAAAGACGTAGCGCCCAACTGCCTATTGTCTGTCGGCAAAAAAAACATTAATGATTCGAAGAGTATGATGAAGTTTCTGTCTCAACTCTGAACTCTCGAGTGAAATCAAATTTCTTTTTTGTTTTGTTTTATGATCTAAGATTTCTACTCCCACCATTTCAATTCATGTGACCTATTTATTTTGTTCGTTAAAAAAAAACAATCTCATTCTAAATTTAGAAATAATTTAAAAAATAATTTAACTTAAAATTCTAATTATATCTTTAATGAAAAGTTTTTATAGCCACACAAATACTCTGACTTGTTTAATACCACACATTTCAAAAGAATTATAATCACACAAATATTATAATTTGGACCACAAGTTTTAAAAAAAATTATTTTGTTTTTACATTGCATATTCAGTCAAATAGGTTCACGTATATTGAAACGGATTAAACATTTATTACTAGTATTGGAAGTACATAACAACGACTTGTATTGTTTGTATAGATTTGGCATAAGGTTTTTATTGTTTCGGGTGGATGTCGTTACGTGTTGTCAATTCAAGGATTCATCCATATTCCCAATTGTCTATTTCACCTTTAATGATATATCTATACTCTCTCCATTTTAGTTTATGTGATGCTTTTATTTTATTTAGTTTTTTGAAATTAAAAAATTATTTTTAAATTTAAAAATAATTTAAATTAAACCTATTATTTTACCCTTAATCTTTTATAAAATCACAAATTTAAAAAGTCTTATAGCCACAAAAATATAGGTATGTTTAAGACTAAATTTCATAAGTCTATCTTTTTTTCTTTCTTGCTCTATATTCACGGTCCCATCAATTAGACTCACCAAAATTGAAATAGTGGGAATAGTAATTTACTTCTCTTCCAAATCAATGTTTTAAAAGAGAAGGCGTGAGACGGGACATTTTACTTAATACGGGGCGAGGCAAAAGCCTCGAGACATGAGGTATAAGGCCCAAGGATCTTTAATTTTTTAGATTTAAGAATTAATAATATAGCATTATAATACAAAAAAGATAAACTAAAAGTTCAAAAAAACTAAAAAGAATTAATGAAACTCATATAAAATAAAATATCTAACATGTTTTACATGTATAATAATGCAATATTGTTAAAGTTACAATGAAATATAAATTAACTACAACGTCTTAACTTTCAAACAACTAAAATTATTATTTCTTAAAAAATATTATCAAATTATATTTTTACCTCCTTAAAAGTAATTACTCAATAAACTTTATCAAGACTGTAATTTAAAATGTTAGTCCTTTATGAGTAAATATAAAATTATTTTTAAATATTAAAATAATTATGTATGATAATGTCGAGAGATATAGAACTAAGACATAGAACATCTATCAAGTAAAGATATAAATTTTGGTTATCCATTTTTAGAAAAAATATTCAAATGATATTCACTCTCACGATATTCTCATTTAGTAAATATGCAATATTATAGTTCGTTATTTGAGTTATTCACAATTTTCATATTCCTATAGATCAAAAGAATTTTAATCCTTCATTTGTTAAAGAATTTTGAGAGTCAACAATGGTAATTAATGAATTCAACACATGATTTGCATAGGAACTGTTGGGCGAGTTCCGAGCGTTAAGCGTTAGCCGTGTTTAAGGCTCACAGTCGGGCGCGCCTCGCAGAACTAAGTCATACACATGAGCCTCAAGGCATTTTGATAGTGGTCCGTCTCGGGGCGAGTCCAAAAAAAACCTTTTAAAACAGTGTTCCAAATAAGTCCTCTTATTTGTCCGGGTCTTAAGATGGACGGGACACGAGACATTAATCAAATGGAAGATCAAAATAAAATTTAGAGGATTACAAGCCTATTGAAACACAAGCAAAGCACTGATTTGAAACAAAACGAGTGGAGTATTATTTCAGTGTAATTTGAAGTTTAAGAGAGGTTAGAAGTCTAAAAGTGAAATTGTTTAGGCTTAACTCAAAGGGAATGTGCATCCATTGGGCTGATTTTAGATCAATCTGATGATGAACGGGAAAACTACCCTCTATAGTCCTTCAAAATTTTAATAGTTCATGTTTTTACCTATTGACACAAAATGGCCCTCCGACCCAAACATATTACATCTAATAGCCGAAATGTCTATTTTGTATATATTTTGTATAGAGATAGTCTATTTTGTATATTTTTTGTATAATGACAGTCTATTTTGTATAGTGACAGTCTATTTTGTATTTTTTGGTATAATGACAGTCTATTTAGCATATATTTTGTATAGTGACAGTCTATTTAGTATATATTTTGTATAGTGACAGTCTATTATATATAAATTGTATAGCGATAGTCTATTTAGTATATTTTGTATAGTGACAGTCTATTTTGTATTTTTTGGTATAATGACAGTCTATTTAGCATATATTTTGTATAGTGACAGTCTATTTAGTATATATTTTGTATAGTGACAGTCTATTATATATAAATTGTATAGCGATAGTCTATTTAGTATATTTTGTATAGTGACAGTCTATTTAGTATATATTTTGTATAGTGACAGTCTATTATATATAAATTGTATAGCGATAGTCTATTTAGTATATTTTGTATAGTGACAGTCTATTTTGTATATATTTTTGTATAATGACAGTCTATTTTTGTATATATTTTGTATAGTGACTGTTTATTGTATATAAATTGTATAGTGACAGTCTATTTTGTATAATTCTTGTATAGTGACAGTCTATTTTGTAGTATATATTTTGTAATATACCAATATTTGAATCTATTTTCACCGAAAGAAATACATAAATATCCATATAAATATATACTAATGGTTTGCCTGAAATTATGATTTCCATCAAAATCAACTAATGACATATATATGAAAATTTATTTGGTGAAAATTAAAGGATTTACCCAGCAAAGAAAGTTATCACAGAAAAAAATAAGGCAATAACAAAGAGCTTGAGATTTTTATTCAAAGGGTGGCTGCCCCTCTCTGTTTAGCCAATGATTTTCCTTTTTCACTTTTAAAATAAAATCAACATCCCTTGAATTCCTGGAAATACATACTACTATAGTACTATACAGTCATTTCTTCAACATCAATCAATAACAATAGCAAGATCTCTCTTTCTCTGTCTCTGTTTCTGTGATTTTAGTTCCTCTTTTTTGGTACATAACAATTGAGGCAGTGATGATATTTTATCCGGATTCTGGGCTAACTGGATCGGGCATAGAGACTATCCGACCCGTATCTTGGCCTGGCAAATCACCGGACGGCTGGTGATTCCAAGGTTTTTACTTTGCAGGCAATCGGTGATTTTGCAGCCATGGCGTGGTCGCCTTCTCCCTTTTCAGTGACATGTCTTTGTAGATCTGAGCCTCTTAGTTAAGTACTTTTGAGCTAGCCACTAGAATTACTTTTGGGCTATAAAATGTATATTGTAATTTTGGACTACCGGGTGTTAAAAGTTTATCCCGAATGGTTATAAATGAATGGAATTTTTATATTCCTATACGCTAT